CATCACTGATCTAGAGGGTAGTATGCTCAGTGAAATAAATCAGTCAGAGAAAGACAAATAACATATGATATCACATATGTGGAATCTAAAGAACAAAATAAATTAGTAAATGAAATAGAAACACACCTATAGATACAGAGAAGAAACTGATAGACACTAGAAGGGAGGGATGTTGGGGATGGGGACAATAAGTGATGGATTAAAAAGTACTAATTGGTAGTTACAACATAGGAAATATAGTTAATAATTATATATGGTGCCAGGTGGGCACTTGAGTTATCAGAGGGAACATCACTTATTAACCTATATAAATATCTATCTGCTGGGCTGTACCTGAAATTAACACAAGGAAGTGTTGAATGCAAACTGTAATAAAAAAATAAAATTTAATCCCTGGCTGGTTTGGCTCAGTGGTAGAGTGCTGGCCTGTGGACTGGAGGGTCCCAGGTTTGATGTCAGTCAAGGGCATATGCCCGGATTGCGGGTTCCATTCCCAGTAAGGGGTGTGCAGGAGGCAGCCAGTCAGCGATTCTCTCTCATCATTGATGTTTCTATCTCTCTCTCTCCCTCTCCCTTTCTCTCTGAAATCAATAAAAATATATTTAAAAAATTAAAAAATAATAAAATAAAGGAAGCTTACTTTGCTTAAAAAAAAATTAAGCCCTGGCCTGTGTTTCTCAGTGGTTAGAACATCAGCCCACAACACCAAAGGGTCTTGGGTTAGATACCCAGTCAAAGGCACGTACTTGGGTTGGAGGTTTGATCCCCACCACCATCAAGGTGCATGTGGGAGACAACCAATCGATGTGTCTCTCTCACATCAGTCTCTCTCTTTCTCTTTCTCTCTCTCTCTCTCCTTTCCACTCACTAAAAATCATTGGAAAAAATGTCCCGAGGTGAGAATAAATAAATAAATATTGGAGAAGAAACCTGAACGTGGCCCTGGCCAGTGTGGCTCAATTGGTTGAGTGTGGTCCCATGCATTGGTTGGATTCCCAATGGAGGCACATGTAGGAGGGAGTCCAATCAATGTTTCTCTCTCACATCAATGTTTCTCTCTCTCTCTCTCTCTCTCTCTCTCTCTCTCTCTCTCTCTCACACAAAACAAAACAAAAAACACCTGAAAGTTTAAAAAGTAACAAAAAAAAAGTTAAAGTGCATGAGATAGGTCACCCACCACAGCATGTGCAGTGGGCAACCTGGAAAAGTGGGACACCAGGACCAAATAAATAAAGTTGTATTGGCCCAGAATGGGGATGGGAGTGAGCTTAGGAGTAGCTGGTCCACAACTGGCTTCCCAACCACCCCTTTTGCCCATCATCACAACCCATTGCCTGGGACAGTTCTCAGAACCCTATCCCAAGAGTGGGTTATGAAGAGAAAGGAAAACCCTGCCTTACCTGGGCTGCCCTCCCACAGGATGGAGTGTTTTGTGGGTGGGTCTATCAGCCTGGTCTCCTGCTTAATCTGTTTTCACTCTGGCACAAGAAATAGCATGATTACATATCCTTCTTTAAAAGAAAAACTACTTCCCTACCCAGGTCACTCTCAATGCTGGGGCTTCTGGGGCTGAAGACTCAGACAGAGCACAGGGAGGGATGTCCCCCAAAGCCCTCACATGCATTTGGATAGAGCGTGGTTGGAGTTCCTTTGCCTCCCCCTTCCCTGCTCACCCTCCAAGAGGGAAGAGGGGGTGATGCTGTGGACTCCAGGCTGAGATACAAGCAGTGCCAGCTGCCCCCTGCCCACCCTCTTTCCACTTTCTCCATTCCACTTGCACTTTGACACTTCCTGAACCAAAGGCA